CAGTGAGATAATCTAGAATTAAATTACTTAAGGAACCTTTGCACTGATTTTCAGATAGGAAATGTCCTTTTCTCAGGGATTGTTGGTTGTTTAACTTTTCACAAAAGACTCTTTGTTTACATTAAGGTTATTTAAAATAGAATGGATAACATCTTCAGCATTCATTTACGAAATAAATTAAGCTTCTCAATTTATGGAAAAATGCAAATGAGATTCGCGTGTTTAAGGATGGCGAAGATTTTGGTAATTTCTATCTCAAACATTAAATAAGTGATAAGCTTGGAAATCGATAATAAGTAACAGAGATGCATTGTATTTTAAGGCATATGGATGAATAATTTAATTTATTAGAAATGATTCTTAATGAAAATAATCACTTTCTTCTATATCTAAAATGGCAGCAAATTCCTTTAAATAGTTTATTGTTTACTTAATTTAATTTTTTCTTTAGTATTCCTTCTGGTAATAAGCTTCCTATTCTTAATTTAGTTTTTGTTTTTATTAAACTTCTTGTTTCTTCAAGTCTTTCATTAATCTTTTTGGAGTTTTAACTTCTTTTAATAAAAATAACTGAAAGGAGGATAAAGACTTGATTCAAAATACAAAAGTATATGAAAAAAATAATAATGCAAAAATATGGAATTTTAGAAAGAGATAAATATACTCATTTTTTGGCAGGTTCATTTTGTTATTAATAAAACAAATTAAAAGATTAGAAATGAGTAGTAATTTTAATGAGAAGGGATTCCTAATGGAAATATTCAACATGTTCTAATATATCTAAAATTTCCTCTATGTAACAGTGCTTCATCCTATGTTCTGCAAAAACGCTCCCTGTGGCGTAATGAAAAAATGGCCAGTAGGCCTTGAGACTTTCATTGGACATTTGGTTTGTCGCTCTACTGTCATTTTTTGCACACTTTGGGCTAATTAGACTGGGACGTACAACTAAACATGGATTCCGAACCGCTAACAAACATCCCTGCCACCACCAGGATTCGAACCTGAAGCCTGTGGTTCCAAAAGGCCAATTGGCTATCAGGCCGCATGCATTTAAGGTTTGGTTTGTCGCTGTACGGTCATCTTGTGCACACTTTATTCTAAACAGACAAGGACCTATTTAAAAAGTGGATTCCAAACTACTACAAACATCCATGGCACCACCGGGACTCAAACCCGAAACTTGTGGTACCGATCGCCAGAGCGCCAGCCGCTTGGCCATTCAGGCCCCCATGCATTTAAGGAGAAGAGGAACTGGTACTAAAAGAGATGCGTTGTATTTTTGGGCATATGGAGGAATCATTTATGAGAAGTGATTCTTAATAAAAATGATCACTTTCTAAAAGGGCAACAAATTATTCTAAATAGTTGAATGTTTACTTCATTTCCTCTTTTCTTTTGTATTCCTTCTGGTCAAAAACTCTCCTATTCCTAATATAATTCTTGTTTTTATTTCAATCCTTCTTCTTCAAAATCTTCAACAATCTTTTTGGAGTTTGAATTACTTCTTTTAAAAAAGGAGGGGAGTATAAATAATAAAGACTTATCTGAAGGATAAAGACTAGATTCAAGATACAAAAGTGTATGCAAAAAGAATAATACAAAATATTTAATTTTATTATAGAAAGAGTCATGTGAGACCGGGACCTACGGTTTACAGTAGATTCCGAACCCCTACAAACAATTTTATCTAAAATTAGTTTAACCATTCACATGCGTATTAATTATCGATAATTTAATGTGTATTGTTATTTACATGTTTATTAGTTATTGATAATTATCGATAAGTTAAAATAATTTTAAGAACCTTCTTAGCTATCCATTTCAGAATCAAATGTAGAATTCGAATCACCCTCTGCACAGATATAGCAATGATAGAATACGTTGAGAAGACAAGGTCCTGAAGTGAACGATGCTATTGGAATTAAATTTTATCGGAAATTATTTTAACCTTGTCACATGTGTATTAATTATAGATTGTATCCAGTTAATATAAAAATATTTGATTGATTTTGATCAAAATTTTATTATCATGTGTGAACATGATGTTGTCGTGGTTAAGGGTACGTGCGTTATCCGAAAATGAGGGCCAGGCAAATAAAACTCCAAATTTTGGCGGAAAATGGTACTTTGGGCCCCTTAACTCTTGAAATGATTCATGAATAACGTTAATCTTAAGGAATTTTCTGGAAAATTTGGCTTTTGATTGAAGTGTTTTGTAGTATGGGTTTGAATCACTTTTCATGTTTTGGGTTGGGATTTTAAACATTTGTATTTCCAATGGCTATAAGTACTCGTAGGGCGTTGATTAATTTCTTCTTATTGAAGTTTCATTTATCATTTTTGACATTTTTCCGTGCGTATTGAGCTGTATAGTGCTCCTTATTGTATTCGGAATTCTTCTTTCTTCATTTATGCCTAGAATTTTTAAACTTGGATGTATTCTTTTGGCTATTGAAAGTGATAACGTTTCTTGTAGAATTGCGAACAATTAATTCTTCATTTATGATTACATTTAACTTACTTTTGATTATTCTTTTAGATATTCTTGAACAATCCATTCATCCTGAAGTTCTCGATCTATTCAACATTATAGTATTCCCATCAATTGCTTCATATATCTCTTGCGTTATTAAACAGCGGCATATTCTTGAGTTTATTCACCCGTTCTGGAATGTTCACACGTGATAAGTTGAAATTTTAACGGCAGATTTCATTTTTTCTTTTTATATTGATTTTAAATTGATCTATATATTAAATATTCTTTTTTAGGGCAGTTTGTCACAAACTGACCTATAAAATATAATGCGCTATAAAATAACACATAACCAACCTCTAACTAACTAACTACTTACGTATTACATTGGTTCGAATCCTGGCAGGTGGCATGGATGTTTGTTAGGGGTTCAGAATCCACGTTAAACTGTAGGTCCCGCTCTAATAAGCCTAAATTGTGCACAAAATGACCGTAGAGCGACAAAAACCAAACCAAACCATACGCATCACATTACATCATAAGTTTCATTTAAGCTTATAAATATAAAGAAGCAGAATGTCGTCCAGGATGGCCGAATGGTTATGGCGTCTGGTTCTTAAGGGTTGCTGATGTCTGTCAGGTGCTCTGTTGAATGTTAACATCTAGGATGAATAATGGACCGGTGATTGAGATGGTTGTGGTTTTTTATATATGTAAATATATGTTGAATCTCTTGAAAGGTTTATGCGCTTGACAGACGTCGGCGGCTTTGAATAACCTGATTACTTGTGAGTTCGAGTCCCACTCCTGGCTTTCTATTTTTCGTCGGATTCACATTTTTAAGTGAAAGGACTTTCATTTAAATAAACAATAAATATTTTAACGAATTATTTTTTTTTTTATAAAGTACGAGTTATAATTACTAATTTTTTTATCATTTTTTAAATTTCAGAGAAACGTTAATCTGCATTTAAAATTTAAAACAATTCAGGGATTGTGGCCTACATGTCTGAGAATGGATTTAATAATTAACAAAAAAAAAAAAAAAAAAAAAAAAAAAAAAAGAATAGAATCAACAGCATGGAAAATATATTGGCGCTGAATATAATTTTTTTTAATGATAAATATTTGAATTTCTTACAATAATTGAAATATTCAATTTATCTTTCAAAGAGATTTTTACTTTTCATCAACCTATAAATGTATTGAATTTTAAAGATAATTAACGCTTATTTAATTTCTTTTTTAAAAATAATATATCGATATCGAATTCCCTAAAAGGAATGGCGTGGCGTTTTTTCTGAGTTCAGATTTTATTTTGCAATAAATTATAGTTTAAAAAAACTAAAAACACGCTTTTAGAATCAATCAAACTAAAAAGAAAAAAAAATAACTGTAATCATAAGAATAAAATGACTGACGAGAAAATGAATTTCACTGTTCTAAAGGCGTGGGGTGCTCGATATCAATCGTTATAATTTTTCACTAGTTTCATTCCGAAATACAGAGTTAGTTTAAAAATGTCATACAAAGCACCCCACGCTTATAGAACAGTGACATTCATTTTCTCGTCAGTCATTTTATTCTTATGCTAACAATTATTGTTTAATTTTTAGTTTGATTCACTCTAAAAGCGTATTTTTAGTGTTTTTAACTATAATATTTAAATGAGGTCCCGGTACGGAGGACTGTAACTATAGTTCATACAATAATTTAATTGTGAGTAAAAAAAAAAAAAAAAAAAAATGAATGCGAATACGTCGAGCCAGCCAGGATCCGAACAGGGAACCTCCGATCCGTAGTCAGGCGCGTTATCCGTTGTGCCGCTGTCCCACGTAGGTTTGAAAAACTGAAATATTCAATACATCTTATATTCTTACTTCTTCCATCTTCTATTCTTTCTTCAATACATGATATATTCTTTTGGCTATTGAGTGTGATAACGTTTCTTGTAGAACTGCGAATAATTCATTCTTCATTTATGATTATATTTTACTTAGTTTTGAATATTCTTTTTAGATATTCTTGAACAATTCATTCTTCATGAAGTTCTCGATTTATTCAACATTATAGTATTCCAATCAATTGCTTCATATATCTCTTGCATTATTAAAAATTGGCATATTCTTGAGTTTATTCACCGTTCTGGAATGTTCACACGTGATAAGTTGAAATTTTAACGGCAGATTTCATTTTTCTTTTTTTTATATTGATTTTAAATTGATCTATATATTAAATAATTTCTTTAGGGCAGTTTGTCACAAACTGACCCATGCGCTATAAAATAACACATAACCAACCCCTAACTAACAAACTACTTACGTATTACATTGGTTCGAATCCTGGCAGGTGGCATGGATGTTTGTTAGGGGTTCAGAATCCACGTTAAACTGTAGGTCCCTCTCTAATAAGCCTAAATTGTGCACAAAATGACCGTAGAGCGACAAACCAAACCAAACCATACGCATCACATTACATCAGAAGTTTTTATTTAAGCTTATAAGTATAAATGAGCGGAATGTCGTCCAGGATGGCCGAATGGTTATGGCGTCTGGTTCTTAAGGGTTGCTGATGGCTGTCAGGTGCTCTGTTGAATGTTAACATCTAGGATGAATAATGGTCCGGTGATTGAGATGGTTGTGGTTTTGTATATATGTAAATATATGTTGAATCTCTTGAAAGGTTTATGCGCTTGACAGATGTCGGCGGCTTTGAATAACTTGATTACTTGTGGGTTCGAGTCCCACTCCTGGCTTTCTATTTTCGTCGGATTCACATTTTTTAAGTGAGAGGACCTTCATTTAAATAAACAATAAATATTTTATCGAATTATTTTTTTTTTTTTTTTATAAAGTATGAGTTATAATTACTAATTTTTTTATCATTTTTTTAAATTTCAGAGAAACGTTAATCTGCATTTAAAATTTAAAACAATTCAGGGATTGTGGCCTACATGTCTGAGAATGGATTTAATAATTAACAAAAAAAAAAAAAAAAAGAATAGAATCAACAGCATGGAAAATATATTGCCGCTGAATATAATTTTTTTTAATGATAAATGCTTGAAATTCTTACAATAATTGAAATATTCAATTTATCTTACAAAGAGATTTTTTACTTTTCATCAACCTATAAATGTATTGAATTTTAAAGATAATTAACGCTCATTTAATTTCTTTTTTAAAATAATATATCGATATCGAATTCCCTAAAAGGAATGGCGTGGCGTTTTTTTTCTGAGTTCAGATTTTTATTTGCAATAAATTATATTTTAAAAACTAAAAACACATGCTTTTAGAATCAATCAAACTAAAAAAGAAAAAATAACTGTAATCATAAGAATAAAATGACTGACGAGAAAATGAATGTCACTGTTCTAAAGGCGTGGGGTGCTCGATATCAATCGTTATAATTTTTCACTAGTTTCATTCCGAAATACAGAGTTAGTTTAAAAATGTCATACAAAAAGCACCCCACGCTTTTAGAACAGTGACGCATTTCTCGTCAGTCATTTTATTCTTATGCTAACAATTATTTTTTACTTTTTAGTTTGATTGACTCTAAAAGCGTATTTTTAGTGTTTTTAACTATAATATTTAAAAAAGAGGTCCCCTGTACGGAGGACTGTAACTATAGTTCATACAATAATTCAATTGTGAGTAAAAAAAAATCTGAATGCGAATACGTCGAGCCAGCCAGGATTCGAACAGGGAATCTCCTGATCCGTAGTCAGGCGCGCGTTATCCGTTGTACCGCTGTCCAAAGTAGGTTTGAAAACTGAAATATTCAATACATCTTATATTCTTACTTCTACCATCTTCTATTCTTTTCTTCAACACATGATATATTCTTTTGATTATTGAGTGTGATAACGTTTCTTGTAGAACTGCGAATAATTCAATCTTCATTTATGATTATATTTTACTTAGTTTTGAATATTATTTTTTAGATATTCTTGAACAATTCATTCTTCATGAAGTTCTCGATCTATTCAACATTATAGTATTCCAATCAATTGCTTCATATATCTCTTGCATTATTAAAAATTGGAATATTCTTGAGTTTATTCACCCGTTCTGCAATGTTCACACGTGATAAGTTGAAATTTCGGGCAGATTTCATTTTTTTTTTCTTTTTTATATTGATTTTTTAAATTGATCTATATATTAAATATTCTTTAGGGCAGTTTGTCACAAACTGACCCATGCGCTATAAATAACACATAACCAACCTCTAACTAACTAACTACTTACGTATTACATTGGTTCGAATCCTGGCAGGTGGCATGGATGTTTGTTAGGGGTTCAGAATCCATGTTAAAACTGTAGGTCCTGCTCTAATAAGCCTAAATTGTGCACAAAATGACCGTAGAGCGACAAACCAAACCAAAACCATACTCATCACATTACATCAGGAAGTTTTATTTAAGCTTATAAATATAAAAGAGGCGGAATGTCGTCCAGGATGGCCGAATGGTTATGGCGGAAGGTTCGTAAGGGTTGCTGATGTCTGTCAGGTGCTCTGTTGAATGTTAACATCTAGGGTGAATAATGGTCCGGTGATTGAGATGGTTGTGGTTTTG